GGGCTGGCGCTGGGCCCCGGGCCCGCGTCCCCGCCACCCCCGGACTCGCTGCCGAAGTCCGAGATGATGGAATCGCAGTGTCGCTCGTACTCGCCCAGCACCGACATGGCGGCGGCCTTGGCACTCCTGGACACCGGCCCGCGTGGCCCCGGAGGCGCTGAACGCACAGCGCCTTCCTCACTTCAGACGCCCGCCCGGGGTTCCGTCGGCCCTTCGGCCACTGCTAGGTTCCATGGTGGCTCCTGACCCCTGACCCGGAAGCGTTTCACTACGTTTCCGGCCCCGGCGAGGTTGTCTTCCGCCTCTCTGGCTGCTGGGGCTTCCTGCCTTCGGGGCCCGGGCCCGGGCGGAGGCCGGGGGACGGAGTGGAAGCGGGGCCCACGGCCGGGTTCGAACGCCGAGGAGCCGCGGGGCTCTCGCGGGGCGGAGGCCTCCCGGACAAGATGCCTCCCAGGGCCTGCTGACCGCGCTTCCCGCTTCCCTTGCTGCGTCCTCTTCATGCTCCGCGCTCCAGACTGTCCAGCCTCACCTGCGCCATGACTGAGAAAGCAGCTCCTTGCAGAATGGTAGCCATAGGCATCGCAAGCCGAAAGACTTTCCTCTCGCCGCTTTGTCGAAGCTGCCTCAGTTCCCTCCGCCTTCTTACAATTCGAAGTCAACTCTCCAGGCCCTCTCTTCCCCATGTTCTTTTTCCAGACTCGGCATCTGCCGTTTTCCAGTTCGCTGACCATCTGTTCTCAGGAAACATTCTTTGAGCCGCTGGTGCCAGACACGGAGAATGGATCCTCTGCAGGAAGACGCTCCTCGCCCTCAAGTCATCGAGGGATCTGGAATACACCCAACAAATGTTTCATCACATCGCCAACAAACTTCTTCCCCCAGTGTATAAACCTGTGGGAATATAACCCACATCGCAGGGGTAACAGATAATAGGTGCTGATTAGTATGTTCTGGACACTGTTTTCCATGTATTATGGCACTTAATTCTCATATTTTCTCTTACAGAAACTGATACAGGGAGGCTAACTGGCTAAATGTGATAAGGCTGATTAACAAAGAGCTAGGAATTTGAAGGAGCCCAGGGTGAATGTACAGTTAAGTAGAAGACAATCTCACACACACACACACGAGTTTTTTGTTTTAACAGAGTTTTGGTGTTTCCTATAAGCAAGGGGAATTATTGGAGAGTTTTTAATGGAGTCTATCAGTAAGCACCATGTGTCCCAATTTTTCTGGTAAGTCTTAGTTAACACTTTCTTCCCCAGCATAACTCTGATGACACAGTGCAAGATAAAGGCTAGAGGCAGGGAGGTCAGTTAGGACACAATTTGTAACCTGAAAGATGCTGAGACAGTATCAGTGAGTGAGAAGGAGGGCCAGATTAAAGAAATCCCTCTGGGGGAACATTTAGAACTTTGTGATCAGTTGAGATATGGTTGGTAAAGATATAGTTCAGGATATTCATTCTAGAGTATTAAGCAGATAGGGATAACAAATACTGGAGGAAGACAGAATTGGTAAAATGGTATAGTGGTATAAAGGCTGAGTTCACATTCCTCTGGCCTCCCTACAGCTCTTCAGTGTTCCTTTCTTTTGGCCAGTCCTGGGGCTTGAACTCAGGGCCTGGGCACTGTCCCTGAGCTTCATTTGCTCAGGGCTAGCACTCTACCACTTGAGCCACAGCGCCACTTCTGGTTTTCTGGTGCTTAATTTGGAGATCAGTCTCACAGACTTTCCTGCCCCAGCTGGTTTTGAACCTGGATCGTCAGATCTCATTGAATAGCTAGGATTACAGGCATGTGCCACTGATGCCTGGTTATTTTTGAATATTTTTAAGTCTAGAAATACTCAACATTAATTCTGAAAGTATAACTTGATTTCAAAGTACCTTTTGTTAAAATAGACTATGTCCATGTTTTATATTAACCAATGAATAGTTAGCACATGATACTACAGAAGTTTTCACATTTTTGAAGGACAGACTTGTCAGGGGTCATAGAATTACTGTAAAGGCTAAAGAATTGACCTAACCCCAAGCCTTGCCTGTTTACTGTAGTAGCCACTAGCAAGCTACATGTAATTACTGCACACTTGTGTTGTAGCTCGTTTGGAGATGTGCTGTAGCTATAAGATAAACACTGGATTTCAGATTTTATATAAAAAGATAGTAAATTATTTCTATAATGTTTACATGTTGCAACATATTGTTCAATTTTATTTTCCTGATTTTTTTTTTTTTGTCGGTCGTGGGACTTGAACTCTGGGCCTGGGCGCTGTCCCTCAGCTCTTCAGCTCAAGGTGAGAGCTCTACAACTTGAGCTACAGCGCCACTTCTGGTCTTCTGGTAGTTTATTGGAGATAAGAATCTCACGGACTTTCCTGCTCGGGCTGGTTTTGAACCTCGATCCTCAGATCTCAGCCTCCTGAGTAGCTAGGATTACAGGCGTGAGCCACTGGCGCCCAGCTTCTGATTTTACTTTTTTTGATTGTCTGAACTGGAGCTTGAACTCAGGGCACTAGACTCTTCCCTTAGCTTTTTTTGCTCAAAGCTGGCACTCTACCATTTGAGCCATACCTCCACTTCCAGCTTTTTACTAGTAACTGGAGGAGATCAGTCTCATGGACTTTCTTACCGGGGCTGACTTTGAATCATGATCCTCAGACCTCAGCCTCCAGAGAAGCTAGGATTACAGGCATGAGGTACTGGCACCTGGCTATACCTTCTTAATGTGGCACTAGAAAAATTTAAATTGTGACTCACATAAGGGACACTAATAGAATAGGCTGAATAATTTACAAAAGATGTGTTAATACCCAACAAGTATACAATAATTCTACTAGACTATAAAATTCATTTGTAAGTTTTGTTAAATTATTTGTTCTCTAAAATATCAGTGAGAACAAAATTTACTTTTTGTTGGCCATGGGGCTTGAACTTAGGGCCTGGGTGTGGTCCCTTGAGTTCCTTTTGCTCAAGGCTAGAGCTCTACCACTTTAAGTCACAGCTCCACTTCCAGTTTTCTGGTGGTTAATTGGAGATAAAAGTCTCACAGACTGGGGTTGGGAAGGTGGCTCAGTGGTAGAGCGCTTGCCTTGCATGCCTGAGGCCCTGGGTTCGATTCCTCAGCACCACATAAGCAAAAGGAAAAAAAAGCCAGAAGTGGCACTGTGGCTCAAGTGGTAGAGCGCTAGCCTTGAGCTGAAGAGCTGAGGGACAGCGCCCAGGCCCAGAGTTCAGGCCCCACAACGGGACCACAAAAAAAAAAAGTCTCACAGACTTTCCTACTGGCTTTGAATTGTGATCCTCAGATCTGTTTTCTGAATAGCTAGGATTACAGGTCTGAGTGACCAGTGTTAAGCTTACAAAACATTTTTGATGCTTGTGAAAAATGTTAAAAGTTGTGAAAGAAATAAGAAAGTGGCCTTTATTTTCTCAAGTGAGGTTTTGCATAGACGTGATAGAGCAAAAAAAGCAAGCCCAAGGGGAATATTTTAGGAATGAGGGCAAGGAGAAGGCTCTCTGAAGAAATAATTACAAGTGGTTTCAAAATAAAAGAGCTATTGGGAATTCTGGGCTTATAGACTCCCTAGTCTTTCTGAGTACATATAGTTATTACTTTAGGCATGATTTATATATAATAAGCATTTATTAGCTAATATTAACTTTATCCATCTGGAGTAAATTATAGACAATATTTTTTTCCCTTAATGTATCAAGTGTTATTTGCTATACTTAAAAATAAACCATGGGAGGGCTGGGAAGGTGGCTCAGTGGTAGAGTGCTTGCCTTGCATGCCTGAGGCCCTGGGTTCGATTCCTCAGTACCACATAAGCAAAAAGAAAAAAGCCGGAAGTGGCGTTGTGGCTTAAGTGGTAGAGTCCTAGCCTTGAGTACAGAATCTCAGGGACAGAGCCCAGGCCCTGAGTTTAAGCCCAAGGACTGGCAAAAAAAAGAAAAGAAAAAAAAATCCCCCCAAACCCAAACTAGAACATGGAGATTACTGCTAAAACAAAGATACTTTAGAACATTAGAAAAATACACCTGATATGGTTTCTGCTAGCCTTTATTTGAGAAATTTTACAGAAAAATCTCCAATTCAACACTTACAAGTGAATTTGTATAAATTGCAGGTCAGTATCCATTAAACAAACAAAAATGGCTTTGACAGGGGTTCAAGACAATGTATAACAAGTTTTACTGAAACTGCATTGTTTTCGGTTACATTACACAAATCATTGAGTATTATGCTAAAAAAAAAATGAAGGAAAACAGATGTCCCTTTTTTAATGCTGATGTTTTTCTGCAAGCCTGATATCAAAGGCAAATATTCTTATTTTCTAGCTGAAATCAAGGTTTAATAGCAATTAACTCTTTTTTCCAAAAGCACAAATGTCCAATTTTTGGCATAAGTAAAAGGAAATGAAAGAATTTTGGTTCCACAAAGTTTAAATTTAGTCATATTTAGGAATAAAAATATCAATAAAGTAAAATATTCTCTTCTCTCCTACCTTTAACATCAAAGCACATCTAAGAAAGTAGCTCTCATTGCTTCTTAAAGGGGGAAAGGCACAGGTCAGAAATATGGAAGAATCTTTTACTAGGCTTATTGTGCAGTATAAGTTTTCACATTTAAAGTCCATAAAGATAGACCACAAATTTAACTCTTTTCCCTACTTGAATCATTCCTCTATCATTTAATATATGTAACATTACAGACATTCTCAACACCTGCTTTCCTGGCAAGGAAGCAGTTATCTTCCACTTTCCAACAGCAGATGGCAATGCTGCACAAGTTAATGAGAACCACTTTTAAGCCACACTTGCGGAAAAGGAATTTACAAGTCAAAAAAAAGGGGGAGGGGGCAACTTTTGGATCACTGTAAGCGCAACATTAACAGAATAGCCTGAGATTTTTAAGAACATAAATCACTCCCCCTTTCACTTTCATACTTCACCCAGAGCATCCACTGCTCTCTGACAAGTTTCATACTCTATTTCGTTACTGAAATTGATATGGGCCTCAATCTTGTAATTCTTGCCACTGTAACTAGACAAATTCTAACAGTCAACAGGATTAGAAAGAAATGATAGGATTTTTCCTGTTTATGAACACAATCATTTGTTTTCACTTTTAGTACATGGTTATTGTGGAGTGCTGGGGAATCAAACCTAGGGCCTTGTTCATGATAGCAAAACTCTATAACACTGATTCATAACCTTGGCCCCATGATTTCTCTTTTGTTCATTAGTATTGGCCTTTATGTACCGTAGACGCCCACAAGTAATTCTTAGCTTTGATTTCATAACATGTATTTATTTCAAGTATTTACTCTTTTCATGACATTCCTAGATCTCCATTTTATACTTCATTTGACTAGATAAAACACACTAATTAATAATTGATCCTGCAAGAAAAGTTGGTAATTTACTTTTTTTTTGGTGATGTTAAAATTCAAGCAACCATGTATCTAATAGAGTACTTGTGTCCAGAATATATAAAAGCCCTCAGAAACAACAACAAAAAACCCTCAGAACTTAACAGTGAAGAGAAGAAATGACCCAATCAGAAAATGGGCAAAGGACATAGACATTTCATTGAAGAGGATGTACAGATGGCAAACAAGCACACAAAACATGTTCAACCATCATCTGCTGTTAGAAGGCAAATTTAAATCATGGTAACATTAGGCCTACCTATTCAAAAGGCCAAGACAGTTTTAACAAGATCTAGTGAGGATATGGAAGAACTGGGTCAGTGACATGCTGCCAGTAGAAATGTAAAACAGTACAACTATTCTAGAAGAAGTAGGGAAGTTTTTTACAAAATGAAATATGCTTTCTATACAACTGTCCTGACACTTAGGCTCAGAGAAATGAAAATTTATGTTCACAGAAATTTTATTAGGGCAAAAACCCCAAACCAACTCATATGTCCTTCTGTGGGTAACTGACTAAACCATACGTAGGATATTCATAACCGTAATATTCATAGTAATACTCAGTAATAAAAACAAACAAATTAGTAGCCAGGTGCTGATGGCTCATCACACCTGTAATTCTAGCTATTCAGGCTGAGATCTGAGGATTGTCATTTGAAGCCAGCCTGGGCAGGAAGTCCATAGCACTTTTTTTTTTTTTTTTTTGTCAATCTGGGGCCTGAACTCTGGGCCTGGGCGCTGTCCCTCAGCTCTTTAGCTCAAGGCTAGTACTCTACCACTTGAGCCACAGCCCCACTTCCGGGTTTTTCTGCTTATGTGGTGCTGAGGAATTGAACCCAGGGTCTCATGCATGCAAGGCAAGCACTCTACCACTGAGCCACCTTCCCAGTCCTCCATAGCACTTTTATCTCCAATTAATCAACAAAAACACCAGAAGTGGAGCTATGGCTCAAAGTGGTCGAGCACTAGCCTTGAGCATAAAAGCTTAGGGACCGAGCCCAATCTCCCAAAAAGGGACAAACTACTGATATGTGCAACAACTGCAATGAATTTGATAGAAATTATGCTGCCTGAAAATTCCAATCTCAACATGTTACACATTCTGTTTGATTCCATGTATATAATACATGGAAAAAGACAAAATTAAAGGAACTTGTGAGCAGAGTAGTGACTGCAGAGGTTGAGGTCACTGGGTAAGGAAGCGAATGACTATGATATAAAAGGGCAGCATGAAAGGTCTGTGATGGAACTTACTGTACTGTGGATGGTCACATGAATAAAACAGTCACATGGTAAAACTGCACAGAACTAAATACATACAAGAAAAGAAAAAAGTTCAAGCAATTGAGCACAAATATTTTAATAGTATGAAATGAGATTTTCTTTAGGGTTTATCTACAGTTCAAAGCTCACTTTTATGAGGTGTCACATCCATGACCCTTTTATGGACATAAAATTCTGAAAGGGTATCACCAGAAGCTATGTAAACATTTCACCTAAGGGCGAAGAGAAAGTTCAGGATGTTTTCACAAGGAAACCCAAGGAGGACAATCAGTATGAAACAAGTTCAACATGGTCATACATTTCTTGGTAAAAGAACTAGAGTGAAAGCCCAAGCTGGGGAGCAAGTGGGAGAAGAAAGCCAACATGGTTCGAACAAATCATGTGAGGAAACCCAGGACAAATGCTGGGTTTGGCATTATCTAGGTTACCTCTATTTTTTTTTTTTTTGTCATAGATGACTCTAATAATAGTCTTAATGTTGCAAAACCAGTCCAAATTCTACCAAGTTAAAAAGAAGTCCCTCACTGACTTTTGGGTGTAGGTAGTAGCCCAGGGCCCCCCACACAAAAAGAGATCAGTTCTTGCAAGAAAGCTCCACTGGGCCTTGATGGTGCTAGCGTTGGATGGCATTGGATTAGACCACGCATGTCCCAGTGCTGTTCTGCTGACTGACACACAAGTGGGGAGCAGACTGGGCCTCATCACTCAATTAACTTCTTAGCCTTGAAGAAGCGACGCAGGTAGAAGACCTGCCAGGTGGCTAGTCCGATGAGGCAGAACATTGAAAAGATGCTGAAGTACAGGACCCGAGTATTTGTTGACTCTAAAAAACAAAAACATTGGAAATGCAATGAAGCCTAGTCAGACGGCTAATCCTAACTACAGAATAACTGATTAACTTCTACTCACTAGACAGGCAATTAATTTCATCCCGACCCTTAGTATTAAAAGTAAAATTTCATTTTTTTAAAAGCTGGGCATGAACATTGTCCAAAAACATACTCTTTACTGGACTTATATCACTGTAACCCCTATGTACACCACCTTTATAATAACAGTTTTTAAAAAAGCCAGGCACCGGTAGCTCTCGCCTGTAATCCTAGCTACTCAGGAGGATGAGGTCTGAGGATCACGGTTCAAAGCCAGCCCAGGCAGGAAGGTCTGTGAGACTCTTATCTCCAATAAACCACTTGAAAACCAGAAGTGGCGCTGTGGCTCAAGTGGTAGAGCGCTCGCCTTGAGCTGAAGGGCTGAGGGACAGCACCCAAGTCCTGAGTTCAAGCCCCAGGATCGACAAAAAAAAAAAAGCTAGGTGTGGTGGTTCAGGCCTGTGATCCCAAGTCTTGGGAGGTGAAGGCAAAGGACTGCTAGTTCAAAGCCAACTTAAGAAACCAAGGGCTAGGGATGTAGCTCAGTGGTAAAGTGATTTCCTAGAATGCCCAGGGCCCAGAGTTTGATCCTCAGCACTGAAAACAAAAAACAAAGTACAAAGATTAGTGGTATCAATTTGCTAACCTATAGGCCAATAGAAAACACTATCAGGAAAAAAAAAATCTATTCTGAAAATCTAACAAGACTGACCTAATCTTCAACAGCAATGGCACTGAAACAAGCAATTTTCTTTCCATACATGACACCCTGCTTTTGTAAAACTGAGTAAAGGCTATCCCAGAATTTAATATTTGGGGATCTGTCTCCCTCCTGGATTACTTATTGAGAAATAATTGCCTTCATCTCACCATTGGTGTCACGCATCTCCTCTTCCCGTTTCTTCATGTAGGCAAAATCATTAACAATAGATTCTGAAAGGTCTTCTAGACGTCGGAGCTCCACCTCTAACGGTTTGAGTTTCTCGACTTTTGCAATCTAAAAAAGAAAAGAATTAAGAATCCTCTTTCTGGAAAACAAAATAAAACCAAACCCCAAAACCTGCTCTGGTAAAAAATATAAAACAAATAGGAGCCTTTTTTTAAAAAATAAGTTTACCAGAGTTAAATTCTTTCCTGTCAATTATCCTAGCACATTTGACAATCTGGCTTTTTTTGTGTGTTGGTGTTTGAAATCAAGAGCCTCTTCCAGATAGGTGCTCTACTGCTTGAACTATACCTCCAGCCTTTGCTTTACTTTTAAGGTAAAAACATAAAATTTATTTACTCTTTGGCAGTAAGTTATTAACCATATTCTAGTCATATTCAAATAAGAACATCTTCAAAGCCCCAGCCCTAAAAAATGTTAGTTTTGATTTGTAATGATGTTACAATTATATTTCATAAAATAAGATCAAAGCCATTTGAATGAGATAATAACGCTGAGATGCTGTGATGAAACCCTTGAGTTGTGATGTAGGTAACAATATGAGAGAGGATGGATGCCAAAGTGATTGGGAGATAAAAACCATACTTTATTTTTTGATATAGGGTCTCACTTTTTGCCCAGGGCTGGCTTGGATTCTGATATGCTAAGTATGCTTCCCATGCAGTTGAGATGACAGGGGCATACAACAGAACCCTACTATTGGTGGAAGTGTGTGTGTGTGGGGGGGGTGTCTTGTGAACATTTTGCCTGGGCTGGTCTTGAACCATAATTCTCATAATTCTCTTGCTATCTACTTCCAGAGTAGCTAGGCTAACTAAGCGGAGTAGAGCCACCAGCACCTAGCTTGCAATCTGAATTTCTACCTTTCCCTATAAATTAGTAGTAACATTCATTCTTAGACTTTTCTAAAATCCCCACACTTGAACTCTGGCCCTGGGTGTTGTCCCTGAGTTCTTTTGCTCAAGGCTAGTGCTCTATCACTCAGAGCCACTTCTGATTTTCCTCCCTGGGAAGGCTTGGAACCTAGATCCTCAGATCTCAGCCTCCTTAGTAGAGCTAGGATTACAGGTATAAACCAGCACCTAGCATAAAAATACTTTTAATTTAAACCTTTTTATGTTGGGATTGTTTTAATTAAAACCTCTTTATGTCGGGCATGGTGACGACAATCCTAGCACTTGGGAGGCAGAGCAGAAAGACTGATAATATATGAGACTGACCTGGGCTAGAAAGGGAGACTGCCTGGTACCTGTGGCTCATGCCTGTCATCTTAGCTATTCAAGAGGGTGAGATCTGAGCATCGCAGTTTTAATTAACCAGCGAAATTAACCAATTCCCCAGCAAAAAAGCCAGAAGTAGAGCTGTGGTTCAAGTTGTAGAGTGCTAGCCTTGAGCATAAAAGCTTAAGGACAATGTCCAGGGCCCGAGTTCAAGCCCCAGGATTAGCACAAAAGAAAGGGTGGGGGAGAGGAGACTGTCTGAAAGCCAGCCTGGGTAGGAAAGTCCATAAGACTCCTGTCTCCAATATATTACCAAAAAAGCAGAAAGTGGAGCTATGGCTCAACTGGTAGCCTTGAGCAAAAGCAGCTCAAGGATAGAGACAATGCCCAGACCCTGAGTTCAAACTTCAAGACTGGTGAAAGGGGGGGGGGGGAGGGAAGGAGGGAAGAGAGAGGAAGGGAGGAGAAGAGAGGAAAGGAGAGAGAGAGGAGAGAGAGGAGAGGGGAGGACAGGGGAGGGGAGAGGAAGACAGGGGAGGGTAGGGGGGAGGTGAGAGAGGAAAGAGGGGAGAGGAGAGAGAGAGGAGAGCCACATTATGGCTAACACGCTCCCCGCCCCGCCCCCCCCCAAAAAAAACCCTGGTAAGAAGTACTATTATATGGAAAGCTATAAAGTAAGATGTACTTATTGCTTATATTTCTAGATTTTTTTCTTTTTTGGCAGGGAGCGTATTAGGGTTTAAACTCAGGGCAACATGCTTGTCAGCAGATATACTAGCACTGTCTTTTTTTTTTTTTTTGTCCAGTCCTAGGACTGAAGGCAGGGGCCTGGGCACTGTCCCTGAGCTTCTTCTGCTCCAGGCTAGCGCTCTACCACTTGAGGTACAGCGCCACTTTCGACTTTTTCTGCTTATGTGGTACTGAGGAATCAAACCCAGGCTTTTATGCAAGCTAGGCAAGCACTCTCAAGTAAACCACATTTCCAGCCCTAGCACTAAGTCTTTAGCTCTTTCTTGCACCAGTTATTTTTGAGATTGGGTATTGTTTTATGCTACCCCATGTTATGAAGATGACACTTGTGTACCACTGTACAAATAGCTATTAATCAGCATACTCTTCTAAATAAATTTTTTTTGGGGGAAGGGGGACTGGCCTTGAACCTTGAACCCTATCTCTGCTTCCCAAGGAGCTAGGATAATGGATTATGGGGTTGAACTACCTTGCCTTGCCCCCAGATTTCTGACTTTAATATGTCACTTTCTATACTTTCACTCATTTTAGGAAATAAACAATCTTAGTATAAAAAGTATTACAGATCTTAGGTCAAACTGGATTTTAGAAGAAAAGCCACTGAATTTCCAATAATACATAGAAATGAAAAGGCAAATGTTACTCTAGTGTTAAGATAACGCCCCAACACTAAATTCAGAGAATTCTGGTTTGTTGATAAAATCTCACAGCTTTAAACTTTTACTCTAAAATTAGTCTAAGATTTTTATTTATTTATTTATTGAGTTGGTCGTGAGCCTGAACTCCTATCTCCAATAAACCACCAGAAAACCGGAAGTGGTGCTGTAGCTCAAGTGGTAGAGCGCTTGCCTTGAGCTGAAGAGCTGAGGGACAGCGCCCAGGCCCAGAGTTCAGGCCCCACGACCGACAAAAAACAACAACAACAAAACCTCAGGGACAGCACCTAGGCTCTGAGTGGAAGCTCCAGTACCAGAATTAAAAACAAAACACAATAAAAAACAACTGAGTTTGATATATAAAGCACATAAAAACATGGTGATCAATTTGCAATAGACACTAAATTTTAAAATAGACACCTAAACATTTTTTTCATTGTATGCACATTTTCTTATATTTGTAAAATGTTGCACAGAGTTAATAATAACTGGCAGCTGCAGAAAAGCTTATGTAGGCATAATATTTAACCAGTGGTTATTCACTAAGCAAATTCTCCAAATGCCAGGTTTGACATGAACCTTGAGGGTATAGTGGTTGTTTTATTTCATGTATGACTGGGGGGGAGGGGAGGGGAGGATATCCTACAGGAAAAACATATCAATACAAGAGATAATACACAGTTGAACTTTAGTCTGTTTACTGTCTTCTAGTATGAATGAATGAAATAGTAGAAAGGCAGTGGCCTGAAACTTCTTTGACATCAAATATTTCAGGGTCTCTAAATAGAAATTTAGAAGGAACTGGAAGTGAAACCAGCTAAGCCTAAAACCCAAAAGGCATGATGAAATTAAACCCAGTACTAATAAGGATGGCTACAATGTAGATTATAGACGGAAAAAAAAAAACTATTCCCAATCTTTACAGTATATATTCTTCTAACTTAAATTCTTGCTAAAACTTCTACCTCATGAGACTCTCCTTATTGTAAGACCTCTTTTCATGTGTTGTTTTCAAGGACCAGTGATTGTATGGTAACAGGGAAGTTGAGAGAACCCAGTATCCATCATCTGGTAACAGAGATTGGTAAGTCTGAATCAAGACTTAAATCTCACAAGTTAAAAGAATAATTTGAGCCAGGCACCAGTGGCTCACACCTGTAATCGTAACTACTCAGGAGGCTGAGATCTGAGGATCTTGGTTCAAAGCCAGCCTGGGCAGGAAAGTCCTTGAGACTCTTATCTCCTCCAATTAAGCTCCAAAGCAGAAGTGGCACTGTGGCTCAAGTGGTAGAGTGCTCGCCTTGAGCTAAAGAGCTCAGGTGCAGTACCCAGGCCCAGAGTTCAAGCCCCATGACCAACCAAAAAAAAAAAAAAAATTGAAGACTTATAGTCCTAATTGTGGCAGCCTGCCAACTAAATTTGCTGCCAATTGAATTTCCTGTTAATCCACTAAGTAAGACAGGGACACAATTTTTTGGTTCCTCTTATAGGTAACTCCAGCAAACCACTCTCACCTAAGAAATTGCTACTAAAGATGGATCACTGACCTTCTGAACCTCTCTAATGATTAAAAAGGACCAAGTTGTTTAGAGGGAAACTATAGCAGGATAGTTAAGGAAGATAGAAAATTAAGATTAGGGGCCGGGAAGGTGGCTCAGTGGTAGAGCGCTTGCCTTGCATGCCTGAGGCCCTGGGTTCGATTCCTCAGCACCACATAAGCAAAAAGAGAAAAGCCGGAAGTGGTGCTGTAGCTCAAGTGGTAGAGCGCTAGCCTTGAGCTGAAGAGCTGAGGGACAGCGCCCAGGCCCAGAGTTCAGGCCCCGCGACTGG